TCGTGGGTAAGAACCTCACTTCTTCAGATGCAAAGTGAGGTTCTTACCCACGAAAGCTTATGCTCCCAATACTTCTGTTAGTCTTAAAGGTGCCACAGGACCCTCTGCTGCTTTGTATGACAATTGTTATATTAATATCACCAAAACAAGAAGCTGCCATTAGTTAAGAAAAAGTCTCCTTTAAATCTGCTAAGCACATGGCTATGACTTGCAAGATAAACACATGTGTTAGGCCTACCCTACAATATGCCTTGTCCCCCCGGGGATGAACATGCTGTGTCCACAGCATTTGTGTATAACTTTTTAAGAAGTACTTTTAATCCAAAGCAGGAACCATGTACTGTGTAACTTCATACTTGTGATCATATGGATCTGTAGCTTGGAATCACAATTGGAGCTGCGCACACATTTGTACTGAAACACAAACCCAAGCCAAATCTGCCAAGTGTGGTGGTTTCATTACTAAACCAGTGCTTGGGCCAGCATTCACTGAAAAGTTTGCTGTGTCTCACAAATCTCTTGGTGAGCCTAGGCAGAGTTCTGTTGAACTGAAGCCATAGAAAAGGTATCTGAAGTCTTGGTAACAGAGAGAAGTCATACACAGCTCCAGTCAAAACAGTGTAAATTTGGACATGTGTACGAATTACGACCCCTGTACAGGTACTGAGTTCTAAATTAGCAAAAAAGCATTTTTAAATTATCACTTAGAAAAAATAAAAACCCAAACAGAACTTGTCTATACAATAGGCAAAGAACTGGTGAAATTTCTTGGGAAATGAGAATGCTGTTTGTGTTCTAGGATATCAAGAGAGAAGGATAGAACAGAAAACTTCGATTCTCCGCACTTGTTTACTTTTAATAGTTGAAAATCTGTAAAACTCCCTTCCAAAAATATATTGCCCCCAGGCTGGGGCCTGAGCATAAAACAGCATCAGGCTGGAATGGTGACTAATGTAACAGGAATTCCATTTGCACCAAGCCTGTCAAGAGATGGCACTTTCAGGTGCTCTCTCTTTCCCAGGGCTAGTCCTGGCAGGCAAGTGTGAAGGGAACAGGGCCTTTACTCAAACACAGAATTTGTTGGATCTGGAACTGTTCCAACAAATCAGAGTGAGCAATGGCTGTTGTCCATTGGCAGGATGAAGGAGAACAGGGCTGCCTTCCTTTGTCTGTTCCATTCTGGGATTCCCCTTTTGTGTCATCCTGCCCCCCTTCTCCAGCCCTTCATTAGTGATTCACAAGGAAGCCTGTAGGGCACAGCAATTGAACAGCTGGTGGGGTGGAAAGCTGTGCTTGTAAAATGTAGGTGGTTGTATTCAGTTCTGGGAACTGAGACTCTGATGGGGGCAGGGGAGGGATGCTGCCAGAGTGGAAGTGCAGCAAGGGGTTTCTCGCAAGATTTATTTTGGGAACGGAGATATGAGGGGGAGATGTTGGTGGATGCTCTCAATAGCTGTTCCTCCCAAGCAGGATGGAGGTTATAAAGAGAAGGAAGCCCCTTGCGTTTTTATTGCTCTCATTGTTAATTGAAATTTTGTTCATCCAGGAGAAGGAAATTGTTTACAGGCCCTTAACACCAGCTCTCCAGATGTTGAGAGCAGCAGATGTTTTCCTGGTTGTTAGAGCAGTACTCTCCAGGGACTAAACAGAGGAGTATGTTTCCAAAACATCAAGTCTTGACATTTTTGATTCACTTATAACTAGGGGAATCCCCCTCCCCACCTTCCTCTCTTCCTGCAATATGACAGTCATCGTCAGGTGACAGGAAGCATTATTGGTGCACTGCAATGCTGTCTCTGCTTCCCCAGATCTGAGGCCCAGAGATGCTTTTCATTTCCCTGACCTCTGCTTTCTATGTGAGATGTGTAGAGTACTTCAGCCAATCCATCCTTACAATTCAGTGAAGATACAGCAGGGATTAATATGGCCCCTTGCGTTTAAGGTCTGTGTTTAGAGAAAGGCCAGGCCCTATAGGGAAAAGATGAGGATCCCCTACGGCTGCATTTGATAAATGCCCAACTGCGAAAGTAAAGTAAATCCACTGGGAACAAGCATTACAGTTGCACTGGAAGGACTTGATGTTTCTCAGGAAAGGTGTCATAGTTAGAGGCACTGAATAGTCACAGTAGTGCAAGCTGTCACACATGGGTGGAACAACGCCACAAACCTGACCTGAAAGGCCTGTGTTTGGGGCTGAGAGAGTGGCTATGGGGGGTGAATTATTCAGAATCCTTGGCTCCTCTGCTGAGACTGCCTGGAAGCATGCTACTTAGTGCAAGTTGTGTTGGTGGGTTTTTGATGCAGACCCCCAGCTCACCGATGGGAGACTGCCAGTTGATATCCAGAAAAGCTAAGCAGCTGCGCTGGTGCACTGATTTCTGACATTACTGACCTGATCCACATTTGCCCCCAGGTGATCCTCAGTCACCTGAGCCAGCTAGTCCTACTTCTATTTAAAACTACTGAGAAACAGTCAGGGCAGGAGAGATGAAAGTGAGGACAAGAACTCTAATAGCTAAAGGCCATGTCTTTGAATTGACAGCTTGATGCCAGGCAAAGCTTCTAGAGAAGTGAATATGAATCCTGTGCCCCTCTTGACTATCTAAAATATATTACATTTTATCATTATTCATAAGCACTGACCGTTTGCTTACGGCTCTGCAAGACACAGAAGATGACATATTGGCCTGATAATGAACTGGGGTGAAACTAGTGTGAGGTCAGAGACTTCAATGGAATTGCTCCTGATTTACACAAGTGTAAGACCAGAATTAAGCCCACAGTTGCAGTCCTGAGGAGCACACAGTCTACTGTAAACAGAGACAGACAACATTAGGCATGCTTTACTACCTTGGGGAGGAGTCAGAGACTATTTTTGACTGCAGTGGGTAGCATTTGTGGGCTTGGCAGGAGTGAGTTTTGATTTAAATTGAGAATTGCCAATTATAATCAGTGTTACTTGAAATCCTATTCTTACAGTGCAATGGGATCATGACCAGGCCCTTGATGTAGAGCCCTGCTCTCTCGCTCTTTAATTCCTGAGAGAGGAAAGAGATGCTTTATTGACTGTCCGAGTCAGCAGTGGGTGTGAGGGAGGAAAAGTGCTTTCTGTTTGTGTGGTGCAGTCCTATTTAAGCCTCTGAGCAGATACTGGAGAAAAATATCACACTGATTGGGTGGGGGGGTCAATCTCAATGGAGATTTCCCTGGGTCAGCATTTTGTGTAACTCTTGAAATCTAACTAAAGCATCCACCATATGAAAGATGCTGACCCTTCAATAGTTACGTTCTTAAATTGGTTTATTCCAGGCAACCCATCTTCTCATTCCCAGCACTAACACTTGCCCTTTTCTCTCTCTGTGCAGGGCAAGGGTGTCACCTGTCTGATCAAGAAGTATTAAAACTGGGCAATGCCTTCTATATAGCTGCAGAGCACAAGGAGCTGGGGAGGTGCTCCTTTATTCTCCTTGGAGGGGGAGAGACTTTGAGGTAAAACCTTGGACTCCCCGGTCTCTCCCCATGGATAAAGGACACACTTTACCCCAGGATATCTGGGACCTGCGGCACTGCCTGAGAATGAAGAGCAAGTATGCCATTCTCTTGGTGTTTGTTGTAGCTCTTGTCATTATCGAGAAGGAAAATAATATCATATCAAGGTAGGAAAAAAAGGAGAGCAAGCTCTTGCTATATTGGGAGGGGGTTTCTCTTCATCCTTGATGTAGCCTTCACCTCACCTTTCTGCTTTCCGGCCATGTACAACTAGATACATTTCTCCCTCATGGAATGTGAAGCCCATTAATGCCTATCACCTTCTTTCCATTACAATCCCAGTCAGTCGCTACAACTGCCTACAGTGAAAGTCCTTCTTCCCAGCAGTGCTTAGCATTGGTTCCTCCAGTTTTTTCCTCTCTTTCAGTAAACAGCCTGCCCCATCAACCAAACTTTTTTATGCCTTAGTTTCCTGGTTATCTCCAGTGACCCCCAAGACAAATACACTGGAGATGGGCATCATAGAAGATCATAGCCAGGTAGGCTATGACAAGTGAGGAGATGCCAAGTGTCTAGCTGAAGCTGCCAACTTGCCCATACCGAGGGAATGAAGAGGGTTTTTATTTAGGCTATGTTTACACTTAAAATGCTACTGTGACACACCTGCAGTGGTGCAGCTGCAGCAGCGTTTCAGTGCAAACACTCACTATAATGACAGGAGAGTTCTCCCTTCACTGTAGTTAATTCACTTCCCTGAGAGGCAGTAGCTAGGTCAACGGAAGACTTTTTCTGGCCACAGTGCTGTCTATACTGGGTTACGGTCAGCTTAACGATGGCCTTGGCTACACTGGCGCTGTACAGCGCTGCAACTTGCTGCACTCAGGGATGTGAAAACGCCCCCCACCCCCCGAGCGCAGCGAGTACAGCGCTGTAAAGCGCCAGTGTAATCAGAGCCTGCAGCGTTGCATGCTCGCTCACAGCACTGCAAGCTATTCCCCTCGGAGAGGTGGAGTACATACAGCGCTGTGAGAGAGCTCTCGCAGCGCTGGTGGCGCGACTACACTCGCGCTTCACAGCGCTGCCACGGCAGCGCTGGGAAGTCCCGAGTGTAGCCAAGGCCTTTGTCTTTCAGAGGTGTGGATTTTTCCCACCCTGGAGAGATGTTGCTATGCCGATGTAAGTTTCCAGTGTAGACCTGCCCTAGGGCTTTTCTTTTTTAAAAGCTGATAAATGTTAGCAATTGAGAAAACGAAGGATGAATAGAGTAGACATATGCTGTGCAAACGTCCCTTAAGCATTTACACCAAAAGCACCTCAGTCCTGACCTGCAGCATGTCCTGCTGTTCTACTCCTGGGTTCCCTTACAGCCCCGCCACTGCCCATTAATCCCAACCTGCAGCTTACTGCTACTCCAAAACTGGACCTCTCCTGAAGAGACTGCCAGTTGTGCCAGTCTGTGTTGGCTTTGCAATATGGACAGAGGGGCACAAGGGAGTAAATTGAAACTACTGAACTTGTTAGGCCTCGAGTGAAATAAGACAAACTCAGGTGCTTAGAGGTGAAAATCTAAATGTCACCCTTTTTAACCACTGCCTCATTGTTTGTGGTTTTGTTCTCTTTGTTTGCAGGGTATCAGACAAGCTGAAGCAAGCCCCACAATCTCTGATGGAGGTCAACAGCACAGACCCTGGCCTAGTGCTGTCAGAAAATGAGTCCCTCTTGTCCCTCAGCGAGCTGGACTCTGCCTTCTCTCAGCTCAAGAGCCGGCTTCAGAATGTCACCCTGCAGCTGGGAGGGACCAGGGAGCCTGCTGTGGCACAGGGACCCCGGAGACATGTGCTCCTGATGGCCACCACCCGCACAGGTTCCTCCTTTGTGGGAGAGTTCTTCAACCAACAAGGCAACATTTTCTATCTCTTCGAGCCACTGTGGCACATCGAGAGGACAGTGTCATTCGAGCCAGGCGGAGCAAACGCGGTGGGATCGGCCCTCGTCTACCGAGATGTCTTGAAGCAGCTGTTGCTCTGTGACCTCTACATCCTGGAGAACTTCATCACCCCGCTCCCTGAGGACCATCTGACCCCGTATATGTTCCGGCGGGGCTCAAGCCGCTCCCTGTGCGAGGACCCTGTTTGCACCCCTTTCGTCAAGAAGGTCTTCGAGAAGTACCACTGCAAGAACCGCCGCTGTGGCCCCCTCAACATTACCCTCGCTGCAGAAGCCTGCCTGCACAAGAATCACATGGCACTCAAGACAGTGCGAATTCGGCAGCTGGAGTTCTTACGACCCCTGGTCGAAGACCCTCGCCTAGACATGAGGATCATCCAGCTGGTGCGGGACCCCCGGGCGGTGCTGGCCTCTCGCATTGTGGCCTTCTCGGGCAAGTATGAAACCTGGAAGAAATGGGCTTCAGAAGGAGCAGCTCCCCTCAACGAGGATGAGGTGCAGAGGCTGCGGGGGAACTGCGAGAGCATCCGCCTCTCGGCTGAACTTGGCCTGAGGCAGCCAGCGTGGCTGCAGGGCCGCTACATGCTGATCCGCTATGAGGATATTGCCAGGTCACCTCTCCAAAATGCCAAGGAGATGTACAGGTTTGCTGGCATCAGCCTCACTCCGCAGGTGGAGGAATGGATCCAGAAGAACACCCAGGCGCCTCAGGACAGCAATGGCATCTACTCCACCCAGAAGAACTCCTCAGAGCAGTTCGAGAAGTGGCGCTTCAGCATCCCCTTCAAGTTGGCCCAAGTGGTGCAGAATGTCTGCGGCCCAGCCATGAGTCTGTTTGGCTACAAACTGGCCAGCGACCAAGAGACCCTCACAAACAGATCCATCAGTTTGCTGGAGGAAAGGAGGGCCTTCTGGATCACGTAAGATCTCTCATCGCTGGGTTTCCAAACGGAAACATATGGTTAGACTGAAAAAAGAAAAACCTGAGCACAAGATCAGCTGGGGAAGCTGGAAAGGGGCCACTGTCCCCTGCTGACACGTATCACACCCTCGTTTATAAGGCTTGTGTTTGCCGTGCACTCCTCATCCTAGCGAGGTGCTTCCTGATTCTCCAGTGGACAGCAGGGGGAATGCAGTAACATCCAGGAGCTCTATCTAGATGGATTATAACGTGGCCACCCTTTGAAACTAAATGGAGCTCAGAAGCTGGCAGTGGGGAGAACCAAAGCAGTAGGTACTAGCTTCCATACCTCACCTCTTAGCTTTCTTCTCTGCACAAGCGCCACCCTTCTTTCAAAGGGCATTTCTGCACTAAACCTCCAAAGAGAGAACTGTATGTTTTAAAAATCTTCGTACACTTTAAAATCCCTCATCTTGCCGAGCAAGGAGGTGAGTGGAGCCGAGGGTTGCACTGATATCGCCTTGGGCAAACTTAAAGACCTCGCTAAGCTGTATTTGGTTGGGTTGATGAAACTGTCAGAAACGGACTTGGTTGGGGTTTGTTGCCAAGAAACCTCTTAGTAAATCCCCAGTGACAGGATCTGGGAGACTCTCTCCTCCCATCCTGACTGCTGCTGCCTTACGCTGACAAACACTCATGTCTCGGACACTTTGTGCATGTCTGTGGAACTTTAAATATACCAACAGCCTGTTAAACCTTGAAAGAGGTGACTGAGTCTTACAAGGGTGAGCACACTCCCTCAGACCATGCTCTCGGAAGAGCAAAATGCCAGGACATCGAGAAAACATGTAGCAGAGCCAGCAAACAGCCACACCATGATCATTGACACTGGTGCGGCATTGTCCACCTCAGCTGCTTGTTATCAAGTGCACCAAAGCCAGCAGCTGAGAGATGGCAGGGAGACAATGAAAACACTATTTAAAAGAGAGAGAGACTTAGAGAGAGAAAGCGAAAGCAATGCTCTCTAGCCCTGGGGATTCAACTGGTCTCCTTCTAAGGTGCCATCAGCTGTTTTGTCTTCCACCACCATGGAGGCTGGATTCCTCAGTGATCATTTGCTGGTGTCTAGAAATCGATACTGAAAGCTTTCTTGGCTGGTGGTGGCAGGGTGTTTCTGTAATGGTATTTATATTTTGTCCTTGCTATTGTTTGTATATCTTTGGAAGTGCTAGTTGGAGGCTGCCAGCAATTCTCCTGCCCAAAGTAAAGGGGAGTAGTTTGTACCAATTAGCTTTTTGTGGCAGGAGAGGGGGGAGGAGAGAGACTGGGATGCAGGCAAGTGGGAACTCATCCAAAATTAGGCAATAGGAATAGTTTCCATAACAGAAAGAGATGGTCTCAGATTGCAACAGACGAATTCCTAGCCTGTGCTGCCCCTTATCTAATCCACAGTTAGGTTAGGTTTTTGCTTCCTGGAGTTTGATCTCTTCCCAGGGCAACCCAGAGACCACTCCAGAAGAGGTCTTCAGACTCCTTTTCAGCCCCATCATTATTCTGAGATACCCATTGAGTCCCCTCACCCTTAAATACATCCTCAGGGAAGAAACATGGAACAAGATCTGAGCTGAGCATGGGTTTTTTTTTAGTAATTTTTGAAGGGGCAGCATCAGTTTTTTGTTTTAAATCAGATTTAAAGGGATACTGTCAACACAGCAAACTTCTCTCTGAAACTTATCTTTACTTCCTGTTGTCACAGATTATTCAAATTTAGAGAGATTGCAAGAGACATTTCTCTGTTTTTCAGTGTGTTTACTTCGTGCATTTATCAGTACTTTAGGCAGTCAGTTTCATCAGTGGTTGGATTCACTTCCTAATCTCATGCACTAGCATGAGAGAATATCAGAATTCTCATGCACAAGGGTGGGGGCGGGCATAGCTAGGCAGAGGAGCAGTCCTCCTAATCTCCCATGGATCCCTGGACATGGCCTGGAAGCACTGGTAAACTGGAGCTGGACAGCAGGTAGACGGAGTAAGCTGTTGCTGACATGGGTGATCAGCATAGGGGAGACACTAATGCAGGAGGGGGATCCAGGCACATCCTGTTTATGGCCATTGTTGTGCCGGAGCACACCCCCGTTAGAGCAACGATATGAAATCGACAAGGGAAAGAGAAACATACAAAAATAAATGCAGGATAATGGCTGAAATTCTCAGCCCTCAGTGTACTTTAACATAGTATATGCCCCCAACGTACACCCATGTAAAAAAAGAAAAAATTGACAGGTCCCTGTCACAGGGAGAGCTAGGTGGCATCTCCTCCTGGTCGCTCTGGGGAACAGCTCTGTCCAACTCCGGTGCCCCCTTCCGCTGCTCACTGCATGCTCTGCTGTCTCTGACTCTCTGTGACTCAAGGGGCTCTGTTTTTGTGGTTTGGCCCTTTGACCAGATCACTATAGTCCTCCCCTTCCAGGGTAACAAAATAAATCTCCAAACCAGCTGTCCAGAGCTTCTCTCCAGTGCTTCTGTGCCACTTCACAGTGGTTGGTAGGAGAACCCAGGCCTGCCCTCTACACTGGGTTCCAGCCCAGAAACCTTGTAACAAGCAGCCAAGGTCTGCATGGTCCTACCCCTTGCTGCTGTTTTCCCTGGGCTTCTTCCCACCTAGCTCTCTCAGGCTTCCTTTCCCCACAACTACTCTGGGGTTGACCCTTGTTCTAGGGTTAGAATCCTGGTGCTTATTCTCCCTCTTGGGTTTTCACCTCCCCTCCTCTGTGCTCCCAGAGAGCAACCTCAGAGTCTCCCTGCAGTCCCCTTCTGCAGCAAACTTCCTGGCTTTATAATCCAGTCTGCTCCAGCCCAACTGAGTCTCTTGTTCAGTTAAGCTTGGCTTTCCCTCCAGGTACAGCCAGGTACCTACGGTAACCAGACAGCAAATGTGAAAAATTGGGACAGGGGGTGGGGGGTAATAGGAGCCTATATAAGAAAAGGACCCAAAAATCGGGACTGTCTCTATAAAATCGGGACATCTGGTCACCCTACAGGTACCCTAATTGGTCCCTGAGGCCCACATTAACCCTTTCAGGGCCTGTGTGGAGTACATACCCATCACAGTTTTAAAAAAAGCAACAATCCACATCTCCCTCCCAGGGTTACTAACAACACCTTATATTGTTAAACTGAAATAGTTTTTTAAGGATATGAATTTATTTTACACTAGTTATGCAGTTTGTCCAAACTGAGATGCAGAAAGTAATCAGTGAAAACAGACCAGGCAGCAGGGGTGCTGGAACAATTTTTATAGTGGGGCTGTTGAAAGCCATTGAACCAAACTGTAAATGATGGAAACCTCTTCAAGCCAGGGGGTGCAGCAGCACTCCCAGTTCCAGCACTTATGCCGGGCAGTTTCATTTTTCAGCTCCCTTGTACCAGCACAATTCTTTCTGCAGTGTTTCGGTTGCAGATATTGCAAAGAGAATGTTGCTACAAAAAGGTTAAAACTGTTTCCAATTGAGCTTAAAAATAATCATGAAAACATTGACTAATAGCAGGTTTTGTAAAATATATATATATATCCTACAGTTTGGGCCTAAACTATCTTTACAGTTTTTCAAGGAATGGCTAAATGAAGCTTAGAGAAGTGAAAAGAAATTAACAAATATATGCTTCAAAGGGGGCTTTTCTATGTATGCCCTTGCAACTCACATGTGGAGTTGTTTGTGAAACCCAACCTCTGCACCCGCTGAAGAGCACATTTTAAATTACTACCTATAGGTATATAAACCATAAAGGGCAACTATACAACAGCTTCCTCCTTCAAGCTCGCAGACCCTCTGGTGCAAACAATCATTTTTGACCTCTCTTTCTTTAATATTCACATTATGTCTTCTATCTGCCTCATCCTATATTATAATTTGTTTACCTTTGGAAAGGTAGCAGACTTAGGCCTCAGTTCAGGAAAGCACTTTAAGCACACCTTAATGTTAAGCCTGTGCATAAAAACTGTCCTGAACAGAGGTGCTTTCCAGAATAAGGGCCTTAATGCATACTGGAGCATTTCTTCAATATACTCAAGACAACAAGAGCTATAGGTACAGCACGAGGGGCCCTATTTGCAATTGCCTTCTACCTTGTGGCATCATTTGCATCAGTGTAAAGTGGCTGTAAAAGGTCCCCAAACCAAACTGGTAATGGTTTACACAATATGACCACCCAGTGAACCTGCGCCAAGGCCCATTTAAATCAATGGAAAGACTCCCACTGACTTTGACAGGTTTTGGATCAGCACCAAGGTGCAGGGGAACCATGAATCAGATCCATACTGCTCCTTGATCAAACTTACTTTGCCAGCTCAAGCAGGGAGCCCCCAGTGGAAACAGTCCTGGTGCAGTTGGTAGGGGAGAGTGTGTTTACCTGGAGCTCCAACCAGCACTTTGGTTCTGAGAAGTGAGGCGTTATTATTGCTATTGTTTGTTTTGTTTGTGCTTTTCAAAAGTTTATTTTTATTTTTTTTTGTCTACAAGGGCTGCAGTCTGGCAGGAAAGAAGCTGCCACTTCCTGCAATATGTAGAACTGTTCAGAGAATGGAGGGTTTAATATTGTAAACTGCAAGGGGAATTTATTTATTTATTATATGAAAAAGAGGGGAAATATTTTATTAGCAGGGAGTCTGAGCTACACCCAAAAACAGGCAGACAACAAATATCCCAAGAAATGGAAAAAAGGTAAACAATTAAACTCATAGCAGCACAGTTATGATTTCAAACAAAATGCTGTTATTTTGAGAAGTCTGTTTTTCTTAACACCCAGAAACAAACAAAAATCACACTTCTGTCTCAAAACTGCTAACTGCTGTTGTTACAAGTAACACCTACACACTCTATAACTGAACCAGATTAGGTTCACTGTTCCCTGTTATTGGGGGAGTCGGGGGGCTTCGCACAGCAACAGGAAGAAGGAAAATGTCTTTTTTATTTTTAAGGAAAGCATGGTTGAAAAAAAAATCTCAAAAATTGGCCAACTCACGCTAAGTAGGACATGAAACTATGTGTAGCACTTTTTAAATGACAGCCTTTCAAATGGCCCATTTCACAAGCTGAGAGCTTGTTGACACTGCGTTATGTCGGTATAAGTTATCTTGCTCAGCGGTGTGAATAAGCCATCCCCCGCACAACGTAACTTATACTGACGTAAGCGCCGGTGTGGACAGCACTATGTTGACATAGCTACCATCCCTTGTAGAGGGAGTTTTATTGTGCTGACGAGAGAGCATCGTCACCAGACATGCTACAGTGGCGCAGCTGCGTCGGTGCAGCAGTAGTGTTCTAGTGTAGACTAGCCCTGAGACACACAATAAATCCCAGACAGGACAAAGGCTTTGGATATAATTTTATGGCCTGGGAAAACACAGAAATGCACAGGAAGTGAAAGGGTACATGCCGCCGTGGCATAAAAGAATAGCTGTTGCCTCTGGGGAGCCCATCTGGAATCAGACCTGTGCATAATGAGAAGTAAATATGGGGGTTTCAGTCCCCCCCAGGGGGGAGCTGATACCAGGTCCCCTCATCCCAAGAGATGGGGAGAAAGGGTGCAATAGTCAGAGCTGAGGTTATTTGGTAGATGAATGTGGGATATGTGACTAGATATGGAAAGCCAAATCCTGCCACGATTTACACTTATTGCAATCACACATGACTTCAGTGGGTCTTAAATCAGGCTAGGATTTGGCCTAGAGACTGGAATTCTGTCTCATTGCAGGAGCAGTCCCTCAGGGCAGGGCTGAATCCATTAGCAGCTCATGGGAATCACGCTGGATGGCTCCCTTCTCTGTACATAGCCCTGGGATAGACAGAGGGAGTCAGTTCTCTGCTCAGCCAGTCACTTGACCTTCCCAAGCACAAGAGAGTCATTCACCAGTTATTTGTTTATTTAAAGGTTTTTTCTCTCTCCATGAACAGATCTTCAGGCTGGAGGAGAGAGACAGTCTCTGACCATGGCACATAAAAGGACTATTCCTCTGTGTTCCAGTTATTAGACCTGGAAAGGCAAATTTCTAACACCACATTCTTTCTCTGGTGTGTTTGATAGAGCTACACATTCTCTCCCCCCCCCTTCTCTGTCCTATAGGACAGGGACCAGGCTCAGGTGCTAGAAGAAAGCACTGCATGCAGTCAGCCTGTCGTGCTCTCCTGAACCCCAACTCCCCTGTGGTACTGCAGCATAGCAACCTCCAGCTATCAGGCTAGTTCGTGGAGGGAGGGCCCTTCACTCACTAACATTTTGGGTGTGGAGAAGCATGAAGAAAGAGCAGGAGCTGGCAGCAGGGTCTGAATGGAGCCTTTGACTTGCGGCTATGCTGCGTGTCACCCCAGGCTCACAACTGCCATCTGTGCTCCTAAGGCTGTAAAATGGAGAGCTGCTTTATTACTTCAGCTGTTTTCTTCCTTCCCTTCTTCCTCCTCTCATCTGTCTTTGCTTGTCAACTCAAAGGGAGGAATCTCAGTCGCCTGGCCCTCTTCAATGGCTGACATCACACCGCCCAGGAGAGCTGTTCCATGTGTTTAAAATCAGAACGCCCGCCTCCAGGAAAGTCGACGTAACTTTAGCTGCAGGGGCTCTCCGCATTGTCGGGGAAAATCCAAGGAGGCAGGAGGCAAGGGAGGGTCGGCCATGGCATCAGGCAAGCTTCAAAGGGAAATGCACTGGGATGGGGTTCCTTAGGCAGCTGGAAGTGTACACCTAAGGGAGTCCAGCATCCCTCGATTATTTATCTGGATGCGGAGAACTCTGTGCTGCCACCTAGGAGTTTTTACAAAACTAAATTAACAGCTAAACCAATGTCCAGATATTTTCTTACTGGCTCTGTGTTAAGGGTTTAGCTTGAAGGCCTGCCTGGCTCCATAGCAGTGATGTTACACAGGGTTTTTTACACTCCCGGAGCCACTGTGGTCTGCAGCCCCTGGAAGCGCTGACAGACACATCCTCTGAGGAGAGTACTCAGTACTCTAGTTTGAATCTTCCATGCACAGAAATGAATGTGAACCTTATAACCAGTTAGAAGATGGTTGACTTGACTTATTTAATTAAAAACACAATGGAGCAGAATCCAAAAAGGCATCTCTTGTCTCTCTGGCATTTATTCACTAGTTATTTTTGGCAGCGGGAGAAGTGTAGACATTAACAACAGCAGATGCAGCAGCTGGTAAGAGTCTCTGTATAACATGCTCCCCCGGGGCAGTGACTTGCTCTCCTTATCCGTGTAGCAGCAGCAACAGTGTTCAGAGTCAACACATTGGAAGACGCTCGGGAAAATAAGATCTGGGGATGAAAAAGGAAACTGCTCTGCTGACAAGAATTTAAACAAGAGCTAGTCGCCCTCCCCTACCCCAGTGATACTGAGCACTCAACTCCCATTCACTCTAATGGAAGTTGCAGGTGCTCATTTCCAATCAGGAGGGCTGTGCAGCAGCTGTTTAGCAAACCTTGGTATCAGAGCTGTGTGCACAAGGGCTGGTGCTATCTCCAATACCGCAGAGATGAAGAGAAAAGTTGGTTTCAAATCCATCAGAAATATAGAGAGGAATGTTACCACCCATCAAAGGGAAAAGAAAAGGCTAAAATGAATGTGGGAAATATCATCTTCAGGAACCTAAGAGGACTTAAACCAGAGAGAATTATTGGGCTCCACCCTGTTTCTTTTCCTCACCCATAATCAGGCATCCATGGTGGGACTCGCTGCAGCTCAGAGGCAGTGGGAGGAAGGCAGCCCGGGTTATTCTGGGTAAATGATGGGATGGAGACAGCCACTGGCTCAGTCTCACTTTGCTCAGGGTCTTGCATACCTATGGCCAGCCCTGGAGCTGGTGTAGGAAGATGCTGCAGTGAAGTGTTGGAACCTACTCATCCCCAGCAAGCATCTAGCTGGAGGAACACCATTAACTCTGGATTTTTAATGAGGCTGTTCCTATCTCTCAGCTCCAAAACGTTCTGCCCAAGTATCCAGTCATTTGTGAAATATCTATGTTCTGAGATGTTGCTGCCTCGATTTCAGGTACAAGTGTTTTACTGCCAAATTGTGCAGGCTAGAATCTGAGGGCACTGCCCCCTTTGTCCTGCCAGGCTCCAGGGCGTAAAGAAAAGAGGCTTCTTTGGGTTATGGGGCCTTACTTTAGGCATCTTTCAGCTGCAAATCTTGTCACGCTGCCTGGAGTGGCTCATGAGCAGGAGTGCCGACCTCAGGGCTGACGGTTAAAACCAGGGCAGACACCCCAAGCTAGCGGTATGTTCTGTAATTAAATTTCACCAGCCCAGGAACAAATGTGAACTCCTGGATTGCTGTAACAGTCTTACCTCGGAGCATACCTTTATGCTCTCCAGTCTATCTTGCCACCCAGGCAAGATGGACTAAATTATAAATGGTCACTTACACCAAGAATCACAAAATATTCAGGTATCAGGGGGTAGCCGTGTTAGTCTGTATCTACAAAAACAACAAGGAGTCTGGTGGCACCTTAAAAACTAACAGATTTATTTGGGCATAAGCTTTCGTGAGTAAAAACCTCACTTCTTCGGATGCATTCATATTCAAATATTCAGGTTTCTCCCAGTTCCAAGAGACCAGTCGCTTACCCCAGATCAACTTGTATCTTAGTTCTCACACCAAAGACAATGCCTATAGCCAACCCTCTAATAAGTTAATTAAAGGTTTATTAACTAGGGAAAAGAAATGAGACAGTTATTTACAGGTTAAAGCATATACGCACAAATGCATTACCATCAATGGCTCCTAAAGATGACAGAGATGTAGTAATCTGTCAATTCAAAATGTCTTTCAGGGTGGACCCAGGGGTAACCCCTGGGGATCTCTGCCTTCATTTAGCATCTCCGGCCCTGTGAAAGTTCAAACAGCAAAGAGAGGAAAACATTTCTTGTAACTCTGTTTTATCTTTTACATTTAGCCTTCGAGTCTATGGGCTGGTGCACACTACACAGTTAGGTCAACCTAACCGGGGAGCCGTGAAATTGACAAGAAATCTGGTTAGCTAGAGCCCAGTTGTCCCCGGCTCCCCTGGAGAGCCAGGGCGAGAATGACCCTTGCTCCTGGCTGGGAGCTGGGGTGAGAAGCCTGGGCTATCCCTTCCCCCCACTCCCAACTGGGAGCAGGGGTGAGATGCCTGGGTGGTATTATCCCCACCCCCGACTCCCAGCTGGGAACATTAGCTGTCTTGTCAATTTCACAGTTGCCTGGCTCCCAGTGGGGAGTGGGCGGGCCAGGGCGTGAGAAGCCAGGGCAACTAGACCCCGCTCCCTGGGGCAAGAAAACCCAGGTGGCTTCCCCCCACTCCCGGCGCGGAACAGGGAGGCGAGAAGCCCTGGGCAGTTTCCTCCCCACTCCCAGTGGAGAACGGGAAGGCGAGAAGCCCTGTGCAGCTTCCCCAGCTCCCAGCGGGGAATGGGGAGTGGGGGTGGGGAGGGCAGCTCACTGGGTGCCTATGTGACAGCTGGTAGGGAGCTGCCAGCAGAGCTGAGAGATCAGACTTTCAATTCCCCACACTGCCCCTCTGAGATCGGTGGAAGCACTCCTTGTGAGGGCGCGCACTACTGCTCCAAGGAGGGTAATATGGACATACATCACTGCAGTAATTACTGCAGTGGCTATAAATCGACCTAATATAAGTTGACTTACGTTTCCAGTGTAGACATACCTATGAGATGAGCTTCTTTGCATGTAGCATTTCCAAGGTGTGATGGGGCCATTCACCAATCTTTTGTATCCTGATGACCTGTTTAATCTTGATAGGCACCCTTAGTGGGCGGGGGAGGGGAGGAGGAGATGATTAATGTGCCTCGGTTCACAAGTTCAGTGCAAACATTTTCAAAGTTATAAAGCAAAACTTAAATTTGTCATTCTACCACAGACTTACAAGTGAGATTAATGCATGCAGCAACATACAAGCATTTCATAGAATCTAAACACTAAATACATTCTTACAAAACTAATACCTATGTTGAACAAAACTAACATACAGAGAGCTGGTTTGGTTTCCAACTATGAGTTTGTTAGTTTTAGCTAACGCCTACGGCCTTGGCCAGAGCTGGCACTTGGTTTACCAAGGTCACAGGCAGATTTCCCAAAATGAACTAGGGCTCAGCAGAAAGGGTAACACGAGCTCTTGCCTCCAGAGTATTTTGTCCTCACCTCACAAATGCAACAGCAAACACAACAGAAATGGACCAGTTTTTTTAGAGAAAGGGTGATTTTGCCTGGAGAATGGGAAAATTCACACATTCCTGCCTTTTCATTGCTAACATAGCCACTTTACAAACATTGTCAATAAAATTCAGCCATAAGGAGACACCAGTGAAAGTGTTTGTGCCAAACTTTGTGAAACAACAATTGTGAATTTCACACAGATCTATTAATGAGCTTGCATACAAATGCTCGTAACGGGTATACATTTCAAAATGGCTGGACACAGGCTCCAAATAGTAAATAGGTCCCCTGGAGGTGTAATCTTTTAATAGCTAGTAAAAGACTTGCTAAATGCAGCCCTGCGGTTTATTGAGAGAACAGGCAGGTAGTAAAAGCTCAGCAGGACAAGGTTTACCCAAGTGCTCATAGCTTGGAGAAGAAAGGACGAGCACGTCTCATTCACTGGGACAGGTGGACAAGGGATGGCTGTGTATGACTGTACTCCTTGAAAGAGAAAGTAGGTGTGGACTTGCTGGTTTGTTCAGGTGCATGCATGCCTGTTTGTGTCTGTCTTTGTATGAAAGTGTATGTATGTGTCTGTGAGCATGTATGCGTATCTGCAGGCAGATGTATGTCAGCATGTACATCTGCAAATATGCAAATCCATGATTGTGTGTATGTGCATGTACACAAGTCTGTGTGTATATCTGTGTGTGACTGCAATCAATTGGGAATATGCATAAACAAGCAAATTGCGGGGTGCATGTACACATTATGGGCCCTCGCAGAAGAAATAATGTACTCAAAAAATGTCTGCAGTGATTCACACGTAACCTACACACTGGGGCACTATTAATTCCTTCCACTGTGATAAAGGAAGATGTCTGCAGTGTGAACACTAACACCTCATTCAACACCTAGATCCAAAAATCACAAATTGATCCTACAGGCTGTCTCCCTGCTGCCTGGTAATTCCACAGCTAAGCAGCAAAAGTGACTTTTCATGTGATCCAAAAAGCTGCAGAAGACTGGCGTTAGCAGGCCAAATGGTTCAGCCGGGGCATAGGGCAAGTAATTCTCCCCATTAAGACAGGTCAGACCAGCAAGGAGTGGCAGAGCAGTTGATGATTGCTGAGAAAATGCCTGTGATGTCAGGCAGAGAGGATTATGATTTAAGATGTAGCATAAGCAGTAGGGCAGATAGTCTTTTCCTGTGCCACTGCTCCTGCTCTCCTCCTGGCTTCTGTTCCATTTCCTTAGACTAGATTGTACACGCTACACTGATTCTGTCTGCCCCCTCCCCTAGGGTGACCAGATGTCCCGATTTTATAGGGACAGTCCTGATTTTTGGGTCTTTTTCTTATATAGGTGCCTATTATCCTCCATCCCGTCCCGACTTTTCACATTTGCTGTCTGGTCACCCTTCCCTCCCCCCATCTAGATCATACATCTCTGTTCCATTGAATTCCCTGAAATAATACAAATCTCTCCAAACCCACTTTCCTTCCAACGTTTCAATGAGCAAATCTCCAGTATAGTAAATTAGTACACAAAAACCTTCCATAGGAAAGAGTTAAGGTGCAAAGTGTGTATCAATAGAACAGGCAAGGGATGCAGGTTCACCCCTGTCATATATTCCTTCTTCACATAGGCCAGGGTCTACACACACTAGTTTAACTAAGGATATGTCTACACTTGCAGAGTTTTTGTGCTGCAAGTTTCACTGGTGATAGGGAACCGGTGAAAGTAAAGTGCTGGTTTGTGTTCTCACTTACTTCCTCCGGCGTCAGAGAGTGTTTCCATTAGCAGCACTTCCATCGTCTATGAGAACACTGCTCTAGGGCAGCTATCCCACAGTGCAGCTCTCTCCAGTTTGACGATGGTTCTTGTGGGAAGGTGGGGGGGGGGGGGAATGACGGGGCATCCTGGGTCCCTGCACAGCCTCCTTTCCCCAAACACTGATCAGCTCCAGTAGCTCAGCATTGCTCCAAGCAGGGGATCGTTTGCTGCGTGGAGCAGCCATTGTCACCTGGCCAGATAAGTGAGCACTTGCCAAGAAAACAGGAAGGGGACTTTACAGGGAGAGGGGTGGATGTCTGTTTACCTGGCAACAGAGCAGCAGAGCTGCTGGCCAGAGTAGTCACCTAGGCACTGTGGATATCCTCCGGAGGCTAAAAGCTCTGTAAATGGGAAGAATGTGTCTTCACTTGCAAAAGCATCACCGCAAAAGCATCACCGATAAGAGCTGTATGTCTCTCGTGGAGGTGGTTTTCTTTTTGCGGTGAAACTTCTGAGTTTCATGGCAAAAAGTCATTGGCAAGTGTGTAGACGCTTCCATGGTTTTTGCGCAAAAAAGGGACTTTTTCTGCTTTAAATGGCAAGTGTAGACATGCCCTTAACATTGGGAGCGGATACCAATTCAGTTCAACCAGCACAGCTGTGTGGGGACACTTGTAAATGGTTAGCCTGGCATACATCACTTTGGCTTGCCTCAGGAAATTCACAGGCACGAGCTAATCTGATAGAACCAGTTTTATACAAAATGGAAGAAAGTCCATGCTTGGATTTGCACTGTTGTAACTTGCTGCTAAATCTACACACGTGACCCTCGGAAGCCTGAACAGAGCAGCACAAGACAGAAATAAATGATGGAAACTGGCAGCTGCCTGTGCACCTGGTGGTGCGGGAGGATGAAGAAGGAAGAACACATTGATTTAAGTTAAACTGGGGCAACTTCTCTCTTTAGACAAGCCCTAATAGCACCTCCTGTAAGTTATACCTCCTCCCCGCACTTGCATGGCGCTTTCTGAAATCGTGCCTTGCCCACGCTTGCAGCTAAACTATGTTCAGCTGCCCCAGTGCAGCTGCACCCACTGCTAACACCCATTATCAGTAACAGTTCTTTATGTAGCATAGACAAGGTTGAAAATTAAGCTTTCATATAACACACTAATGGGTCTTTTTTTGGGTGGGGGGGAGACAGTTCCAATGTGTCTAGAATGATCATTTACATTTACTACACAGGCTTTCTTGCCCAATTTCATTAAGCCCCAATCCTGATTGGGGTCTGTCTGCATGGAGCTCCCTGCAGGAGGATCAGGTGCTAAGTTGACCTCATGTGTTCACCTAAAAGCATGATTCCCTGGTAATACCAGGAAGGAATATTTGCATTACCATTCAACTGGACATGAGTCCTCTATACAGGCAGGTTATGCAGCACAGCTTCCAAACAGCTACATATTATCCTCCTCACTGTCTGTATAGCATATATGATCCAGGCAAGACCTTGGCCATCACAATAGTAAGCTGGCTGCAGTTCAAGAAATATATGCCAGTTGGCCCTTGTGGTAGATCCCAGGCTTCACAAGCGTATAATGCTGTGCTACTTCTCTTTTTCTCACCCACTCAAGGACCCCAATCGCCTCCTGACATCCTCCTGCCTTCCATCCCAGAATGACATGTCAGGCACCACTGGAGAGGGTGTGGGGGTCAGCAGGGAGAGGACTTGCTGGCCATATAGCTCCCCACCCCAGCTCACCTCTGCTCCACCTCCTCCCCGAGCACACCACCCACACTCTAATTCTCCTCCCCTCCCAGGCTTGTGGCGCCAAACAGCGGATTGGCGCCGCAAGCCTGGGAGGCGGGAGAAGTGGAGCAGCGACGACGTGCTCAGGGAGGGGGCGTAGCAGAGGTGAGCTGGAGTGGGGAGCCCTGCGGCAGCTCCCCCTCCCCGCCCTGAGGCACCCCCGCGGCAGCTCCCCACCCCCCCGGCCCGGGGAGCCGTGCAGCAGCTCCCCACCCCAGCTCACCTCTGCTCTGCCTCCTCCCCGAGCACGCCACCCTCACTCTAATTCTCCTCCCCTCCCAGGCTTGTGGCGCCAAACAGCTGATTGGCACTGCAGGCCTGGGAGGCGGGAGAAGTGGAGTGGCAACCGCGCGCTCGGGGAGGGGGCATAGGAACGCTCTAAAAAAAAAATTGGGAGCACTGCTTTTTGGTGCCCCCAAATCTTGGCACCCTAGGCAACTGCCTAGTTTGCCTTAATGGTAGCACCGGCCCTGCTGACCACCACTTATTCCTAATAACAGCGAGACCCATCCTTGAGCAGTTCAGCCTCGTGGACCCCTAATCAAGTCCAGTCTGATCCAAAAGCCCCTCTGAATCCCTTCCACCCTTTGTCCCAAAACACAGTATCTAAAAGTAGGAACAGCCACCAGTGGGGCATCTGGCAACAGGCAGCCTGAAAATTGGAGCTGGGGCAGCAGAATGGGGGTTGCCTGCAAGGCCCTCCATACCACAAAGGGACCTCAGAAAGAGAACGAGAAGCCATTGACTCCGAGGGGTTAAGGAAACACATTAACGTCCATTAGTGAGAGAGGCTTTGCTGACTGCCTAATGGAGGGTTAACATAAGAAGCAGGCAAGAGAAGAGGCCGAGGAGGAGCGAGGGGCAAGAATAACACTATTACCAAAAAGTGTGAAACTACATAACTGGGAACCGGGCCTGGGTTTTAACCACTCACATGCTGCTGTTTCCCTCGTGTAAGACAGAGCTTCTGCATTGATCGTATTCCCCACTAGCCAGTCTGAATCCCTCCTGGGGAACTCCATGTTATTTTCTGAA